CACACACACACACACACATACTATATATATATATATATATATATATATATATATATAATCCGCAGGCATTCGACACTGTGACCACATAAGCTGCGGGCGGGCCCAGCTAGTCCTCGCCGCAGCGCAACTGACCCGTTCGTCCGTCATTCTGGTGAGATGTGCTACACACTTGCGAGTGGATCTGGAGATGAAGTACATTGAAGCCTTCTTGTACATAGTGGATTGTCTGCCTGTACACGAGGCCTTTGAAAGCACACCGGCTGACGAGAGTGTGGAGTCGGGTATGTGCGTATGAGTGACTTGTGCGGTGGGTCTGTTGTGTCTTGATATGTGGTACCTTGTAGTCGGGAACTTTATTTCTGTTATTAATACGTACGAGTCTGGTAAGCATATCATCCTAACACTACGTAAATTAGGATCATCCTAACACTACGTAAATTAGGATCATCCTAACACTACGTAAACTAGGATCATCCTAACACTACGTAAACTAGGATCATCCTAACACTACGTAAATTAGGATCATCCCGTAGGGACACCTGATCCCTTTGGAATAGTCCATCCTCGCATATCTCTGTTTGGATGCCTGCCCATGCTACACCCAATTCCTATCAGTAGAAGCGATTAGTCAGTAGTTGGGGCTCTGCCTACGGTACTAGAGAGCCTGATGCATAGCTCTAGACTGTGAGTGCTGCAAAGCAAACAATAGAATCAGGCACACACAGACAGACCTGCTACCAGGTCCATACGCATGATAGGTGTTTAAACCAGGGTTGTAGTGTGTGGTACAATTCAGGGGTTTAAACTAGGTTTGTAGTGTGTGGTACAATTTAGGGGTTTAAACTAAGTTTGTAGTGTGTGATACAATTCAGGGGTTTAAACTAGGTTTGTAGTGTGTGGTACAATTCAGGGTTTTAAACTAGGGTTGTAGTGTGGTGCAATTCAGGGTTTTAAACTATGTTTGTAGTGTGTGGTACAATTCAGGGGTTTAAACTAGGGTTGTAGTGTGTGGTACAATTCAAGGGTTTAAACTAGGTTTGTAGTGTGTGGTGCAGAGTTTAAACTAGGTTTGTAGTGTGTGGTACAATTCAGGGTTTTAAACTAGGGTTGTAGTGTGTGGTACAATTCAGGGGTTTAAACTAGGGCTGTAGTGTGGTGCAGAGTTCAGGGTTTAAAACTAGGGTTGTAGTGTGTGGTGCAGTTCCTGGGCATGTGAGATCTAGGCTGACGACCTATTCACCTGCCAACGAGCATTCCCGCTCCAATTTTCTATCTCTCTCGAAATTACGCGCTCAAATCATAGAAGACACGCCCCTAAACCTCACCGTAGAATGAATGAGCTGCATGTACTTTATTTTCGTGAGGATACCGATCCAATTCCGTATTTTGGCGTTCTTGATGTGCAATTTTGGCCTATCTTAAACTCCCCATTGTCAGCGATTTGTGGATGTAAGATTCTGCCCTTCGGATCTACGATACCCGCACATTTATTGTAATAGATCAAAAAAGTTTGGCATTTCTAGTTGACACTTCTATTTCAATTCCATACAATTGCTTTTTAGACAAACAACCCTGATTTAGTTTGTTTTTTTTTGGCATTCTGGTCTGTCTGACAGTCTCTACACAGTGGCGTGCTCCGGTTCTGGCGAAGATCTGGACACCTGCGCTAGATCTAGCTGTTACACAACTTACAAGGAGTGTTTATATGGCAGTGGCAGACTGTAACATCGAGGTACATGCCGTGCGAATAGTACTATCAAGTTCATATATAT